ACTGGAGTGGGTTGCCATTTCCTTCTCCAGTGCATGAAGGTGAAAAGTGAAGTCGCTCAGTCGTGTCCGACTCTTAGCGACCCCATGGACTGCAGCCCACCAGGCCCCTCCGTCCATGGGATTTTCCAGGCAAGAGTACTGGAGTGGGCTGCCATTGTCTTCTCCAACTCACCATCATAGGCCAGCATAAAGTGCAACTCACTTATTTAGCCAGCACTTGTCTTCAATATCTGTTTGTAGTGTGCGTACCTTAGGAGGACTTGCCCTGTCTGTATTGTCTTTTATGTATCTAAGAGCAGAGACTTAGTCTATTTAACTCTCAGTCATAGCTTAGCTAACTGGCCCCATTTTTATAGTGCCAGATATTATTTTAACAGTTGAAATGAACTCAAATATCCTGCAATAGGGGATATTTGAGAGGATGTGACATAGCCACAGGGAGGAATGCTATATAGACAGTAAAAATGCTATGAATGTTGCAATCTATTGCTATATCTGAAGTGATTTTGAGGGGAAAAATCAAATATAAAGAGGAGTGTATTATTGATAACATGTAAAAAATAAATGCATGTAAACTATCAAGGATCAGTGGTAATCTCTAAAGATCAAAATTGATAGAAAAATGACAAAAATTGGATTAATTCCAATAAATTCTATATTTTCAAAAGTTAATTAAAACATATATGTATTGGTATATATGTATACATGCGCAAAACAAAACTGCTATACATATATGCATATGTGTATGTTTCAATTAACCTTAAATATAAGGGCTTCCCTGGTGGTTCAGGTGGTAAAGAGTCTGCCTACAATGCACGAGACCCAGGTTCGATCCCTGGCTCAGGAAGATCCCCTGGAGAGGGAAATGGCAGCCCACTCCAGTATTCTTGCCTGGGGAATTCCATGGACAGAGGAGCCTAGTGGGCTATACAGTCCATGGGGTTGCAAAGAGTCAGACACAACTGAGCGACTAACACTTTCACTTATATAAATATATGCATATGTTTTAATTAACTTTTGAATACACAGACATACAGTATAGTATTTGTTGTTTGTTGCTGCATAAACAAATTACACTAAAACTTGGAAGCTTGAGGCAACAAATATTTATCAACTCACATACCTTCTGAGGTTGAAGAATTTAGGTTTTGCTTAACTGGATGGTTCTGGCTCAGGGTCTCTTGTGAAGTTACAAAATGCCAGGGAGAACTGCTGTCATCTGAACCCTTGGCCAGGTCCACTTCCAAGAAGGCTCTGAATCATACGCTTGTTGGCAAAAGTCCTCAGTTCCTTGTTGTGTGGATGTCATGGGTGGGGGGGGTGGCTCTCCAAAGGCTGCTCATGGCATGGCAGCTGATTTCCCTCAGAACTAGTGATGACTGAGAGAGAGAGAATGACCAATATCACAGCTGCAATGCCTTTTATCACCTAATCTCAAAAGTGGCATGCCATCACTTCTTTCATATTCTTTGGTCCCATAGGCCAGCCCCGGTGCAATGTGAGAGGGACTGTATCGGGGTGTGAGTACTCAGAGACAGGAATCATTGGGGATCATCTTGGAGGCTGGCTGTTACAACTATTAGAAACAATAATAAGACATTTTTGTACAAAAGCATGTTTTGGTTATTAAATATACATTTCAAATATACATTGAAATAGGTATTTTGAAATACCTAATCCTCCTAGCGATACTTTTCAAGAAATAATAACAATATTTATTTGGCACATTTTATGTGCCAAGCCAATCTGTACTAAGCATTTTACGTGGACCTTCTCCTATAACCCTGAGAACTTAAAAGGAAGCACTTTTCGCTGCCTCATTTCGTAGAGATGGAACTTGAAGCACAGAGAGGTTGAGCAGCTTACCCTAGGGGACACATCTAGCAAGTATGGAAACCAGACTGTAAACTCAGATCTATCAGTTAAAGGATATACATCACCACCAAGCTATACTGATTTTCTCTAGTCATAGTTTTGTGAAAGAAATCCTAACCTACTCATGTTTTACAAATTAAGAACCATCATTCTAGGTAAGTAGTTGAGGATTTCCCTGCAGTCAGAGTAAATAAGCTAAGACTCTAAATTGGAAGTTGGGTTCATGGAGAACTTTATCATGATTAAGACAGTAACAGTTGCCTAATCCTCTCTCCTCCCCTTTTCCGTCTCTTCACTCCAGCCAAACTGGCCTTGTTCTTGGAGCACTCCAGGCGTGCTCCCCCTTCAGGTCCTTTGTGCTTGATGTTCCTCTTCTACTCCCCTAGAGCAGCCTGGCTCCTGCCATCACCTCCTTTTCTCAAATATCACCTTCCCAGAGAGGTCCACTGTTGCCACACTATTTAAAATTGGCCACTCCATCCCATCACTTAGCCCCACCGTCCTTCCCTTGTTCTTCTCCTATGACACTTATCGCCATCTGCAATCTACAGAATTTGCTGATGCAGTACGCTCATATTTCTCTCCTGATCCTAGAATACAAGCTCCTCAAAGACAAGGATGAGTGTTTTGTTCACTGACTCCCACATTGTTCAATGAGGATCTCTAGCACAGCAGTGTCTGGTACATAGTATATGTTCAATAATAAATGTGTGTTAGATAAATGAAGAAATAACAATAGGGGGCACAAAACATGAAGCTGATATCAGAGCAGCTCAGCTGAAAATGTAATGGTCAATTTATTTTCCAGCCATACCTCTTTAAATTTAATTTTGAAATTATCTACAGATTTCACCCAAATAGATGGTTCTAGAGAAAACTGCTTTCTGTTCATGGACATTTTACATTTATCACCATGTGTGTTTATTTTGTAACCAGAGTAGATGTATTAGAAGTCTCTAGAAACAAAAAAGTTCTAGAAACAAAAGATGCTTTTACCTAGAACACAAATAAACTAGGTCAGGATTGAAGTATTTCCACTATCCAGGTGATAACTTATCCCTCTGTCTAGTGACCCTATAAAACCTGGAGATCAGGCAAATATTTACCTTACCTTTCACATTAGACAAAGTCAGTTAAGCAAATGACATTTCATAATGAATGAAATGAAAGAACTTCCTTCCTATATTTATTCTGGATAATCTATTAATTTTTAGTATGTTTTGTTCCCCCAGACATAGAGCTATTGTTTGACAGAAGGTCAGCATTCATTCTAACTTTTCCCAGGTCTACATAGGACTATTAACTATAATCTTGGACATTTCAGAATGCCAACTTACTAGTTGCCAGTATATTCAATAAAAGTCTCATTGATACTGAGTTTTGTTTCTTCAAACCAACTAAACATACCAACTATAGTAATAACAGCTAACCTTTATTAGATACTCACCAGGTGCCAGCCATCCTGCCTATATGATGTCTAACACTTCCAGCAACTCTACAAGAGAGATACTATAGTTACAATGCCCAGTGAAGTTAAGTGATTTGTCAAGATCATGCAATCAGGACAGAGACTCAAACCAAGATTTCTGTCTGATTCCCACATTTGGGCCAGTTTCAAGGTACCACTCTCTGGCCCTATCAGTTGAAACAGTAGACTTACCTAGTTATCTAGGTAACAACCAAATATTGCAGGGCATTATATTTACACTAAATTTTTTTAATTGTTTGTCTGAAATTCAAATTTAACTGGATGTCTTATATTTTTCTGACCCATAGTCAGATGCATTTTTTACTGTACCACTGGCCCCCCTCTGGATGCCGGGTACTTTTATTTGCTAAATCTGGCAACATGTGGAAGGAACTTTAGGAATTAAGTTTTGTGCTTCTTAGGAGTGTGTGACAAAATGATCAGGAGGGCTTTTTCAATGTATCTACACAGGTTCTACCCCATGTTGCTAGGATTCTAGAGTGAACTCAGGCCTATTTGTTTATTAAAAACATGTATTGACTGGGGTCCTACCCTGTGCCAGGCACATCTCTAAACTTTGGAAACACAGCAAAGAAACAAAACAAAAACTAACTTTGAGGATCTTCCCTGGTGACTCCAGAGCTCACCCCTGTTAAGAAACAATGGATCAGGATTTCCCTGGTTGTCCAGTGGTTAAGAATCTGCCTTCCAATGCAGGGGATGCAGGTTTGATCCCTGGTCAGAGAACTAAGATTCCCACATGCCCCGGGGCATCTGTGGAGCCCACGCACTAGAACTAGAGAGAAGCCTGTGCACCACAATGAAAGATCCCATGTACTGAAAGACACTGCCAAAAATAAATAAATATTTTTTAAAAAGAAAAAGAAGCAATGGGTCAAGCAGCTTCATTTTTGAGACCCAGAACAGTGCCATGATGGCTCAAGATCACTGACAGAGGAGGAGCTGGGGATCGAGTCTGCTCACTCCTAGTCTAGGACTTTTAAAAACTCTCTGCTGACTTTCTGTCCTCACTTTTTCCAATACTCCCTTTTCAGTATTCTGTTTTCCCTAAAATTATAATCATCGATAAGCAGAATATGGTCCCAGAAATTACATCATCCTTAAATACTTAATATTTTATAATAAATAAACTTAATAATAAATAATAAAGTTAATAATAAATAAATAAATACTAAATACTTAATACTGCTTGAGACTCACTTGAAACCATAACACCAAGATGACAGGCGTCAACAGATATCAGTAATAGAGAACCATGACCCCAAATGAAAGTGGTGACCTTACAGATACCTCACTGTCTGTGTGCAGCATTTTTCATAGGCATTGACTTATACATCCTCCCAATAACCCTGGGAATGAGATAGGAAAGATGTCACTCTAACTGTTCATGTATCCAAGTTCAAACAACCCATAAATGGCCAAAAACAGGGCTCAAAATCAGGTTTTTCTTTCTCCAAGTTGGAATAAAATAATCTGAAGGTGAATGAGAACTTGGGCTTGTTTCATTCTTTCTTCTTCCAGCATAGGCAGTAAAGTCTGAAGACACTTACTGTGGCTGGTGAGGCTCTAACCTCTCTGCCTACTCCAAAGCCTCTCCCTTCCCAGGAGCACTGCCCTCCTCTCCTCTCAGGCTCCACATCCCCACCACATAGGACAGTGCGAACATAGACCATTGATGGCAAAAAACAAAAACAAAACTTCAACTGAAATGCACACAAGTTACCAAGATTCACATGCCAGCGCATCCCCAGATTTGTAGGAATTTATGGAGCAGAATGATTAGTTCAGTACTGAGTTCATAGGGAGTTAGTGGCCTTGCTGGACCATTTCCTTATAAGGTAACTATGAAATCATGCTGGGCCACAGAAGAAGAAAGCTGGAGATGAGAGCTTGGGAAAGTGGGGCCTAGGTTTGATGGGGAAGATGTTGACTCCTTGTCAAATTTGCATGAGTCCCCAAAGTAGGCACACCCTTTTTTAGGGAGTGAAATGCAAATTCCACAAGAATTAGAAAATTAAAACTGGCCGAGGTTACTGACATCTGTGCCTCACTAAGCCTTATGTTCAAGCTGCCTCTTGCAGTGAGGGATCATGAGCCGGGCATTTAGAACCCAATTCTAAACCACCTCCATCATTTGACAACTGCTCAGACTTGCCCAGGATAATTGTCCAACTTCCACCACCATCAGTTCCTCCAAATCACACTGGCACCCTTCAGCAAACCCATACCATTGTTTTCCAATTATTTACCACTCCCTTTATGCTCTCCAGTGCCCTACTGAGGACTCGCTGATTTTAACAATGGCATTAAAACTTGAAACTTCTGTTACCCTTGAGATCCAAGTCAGTCTTAAGTACTGGAATGCGTGTTTGCTTAGTTGCTTTAGTCATGTCCAACTATTTGTGACCCCACAGACCGTAGCCTGCCAGGCTCCTGTATCCATGGAATTCTCCAGGCAAGAATACTGGAATGGGTAGCCATGCCCTCCTCCAGGGGATCTTCCTGACTCAGGGATCAAACCCACATCTCCTGCATTGCAGGCAGATTCTTTACCGTGAGCCACCAGGGAAGCCCAAGTACTGGTATAGACTTTATTTAAACACAAATGCATCTGAGGTTTCTGCAAAAGCAGCCTCCTAAACCACTCTTTCTGTCTTTAATCCCCACCTATCCTCCCAACCATCCTATATGCACACACCTGTTGAATTTTCTAAAAGATCACCTTTATCCTGGCATTCTCCTACATAAAAATAAATTCATTCTTCTATGGACTGATGAAAGCTTTCCATGGTACTGCATTACAAATAATAATGCTTATATACCAGATAATCCTTGTCCAATCACATGACAAGTAAGGATCAACTGAGACAATGTGTGTGAAAACATTAAAGAATATAGTATGTTGTTACATTTATATAGCATTTCAGGGCTTTTGAAGTACTTCACATGTACCATGTGGTTTCAAAACATCAGAGAAGACAGAATTTATGTCACTTTTCATATGTATATTTGTTTCTAGAAGAAGGCTGCTAAATTCCAAGTCTTTCACTTTTTTGCCAATCAACTGATACGAAATGTAACATTTCATGTTAAATTCTGATATTAAATATCAATTACTGTATCATTATCAATTGAAATTCATAAAACAGAGCACAAACTTTTTCATCATAAAAAGTCCTTCAAATAAAACTTTTGCCACAATTAATCCTTATTTGCAATATGTATTGAGAAGAACAGAACAAAATTATAAGAAGCATAGAAGCTCTATGTGTCCTTGAAATCAGGTGGATAAAGATTGTTTTACATAACTGAACAGCATACAAACTATGGAAAAATGTGGGGGTTTTGTTTGCTTTATTTTAATAATGGACAAAATGTAAGTTCAGGGAAAAAATGGTAGTGCCTCTGCATGAAAAAACCAATGTACCTCTGACTAAAAGCTGATGTTAGGTTAATTTTAATTTACAAGAGACATCATAATGCACTGATTAAGAGGATGGCTCCTGTGGCCAGCATGGCTGCATTCAGATCCTGCTTCTGTTACTTACTCACAGGCTGTATGACCTTGAACAAGTTACTTAACCTCTTTAGACCTCAATTTCCTCTTCTATAAAATGGGAATAATAATAGTACCTACCCATAGAGTGCTTGTGAAGATGAAGTGATTTAATATTTACACAATGCCTAGAATATATATTAAACACCTTATAAAAGGTAATGGCAATGTTGATGATGATGACAATGGTGATGATCTGAGGAGGAAAGACACAATCAAATTCAGGGTTACGCAGAGTCAAGGGCTTGTTCAGGTTCTGCTATGTATTCTGGTTAAGAAATCTACCTTTGTAGGCCTGAATCCTCATTTGAAAAATGGCTCTTTAGTCATAGGTAAAACAATTCTGGAATTACAACAGATCTGAAGGTGGGTATTCCTTTCTGAATACCCACTTAATAAAGGTTTCAGCTTTAGTTACTAGAGTCTGGTCAATCGTTTTTGGAGTCAGTTGAGGATTCTTCTCATTGCAAAAGATGGAAAACTACCAAGCAAATTTGCTTATGACAAATGGGAGCTTGTTGGTTCATATGACTTGAAAGTCCAAGGGAAGGACTGGTTTCAGACTGGCCTTGATCAGTCTCAACCAGTGACCTCAGGACCCAGTTTCTCCCCATGCCTTAGTTCTCCCTTCTGTAGTTATTGCTTTATTCTCAGGTTCTTTGTGATGGCACCTTACAGCTCCGGGTTCTGGTCATCATTACTGCAAACAGGCCCAGTCCAAAGGAATGTGGGAAGCTCCACAGACTCCCCAGCTAACATCTCCTTTGCAAATGGGCGTGAGATCTTTTGGGAATTATGGGAAAGTTCTAACGTTTGACTGTTCTGATGGTTACTCTATAAATTTACTAAAAATCACTGAATTATATACTTCAAAAGGGTGAATTTCATGGTGTGTAAGTTATGTTTCAATAGAACAGACTTCCCTTACATCTCTCTGGCTCTGATAGTGTCACACTCCCATTTCCGAATCTACCACCAGGTCAGAGGAATGTGATGCTCCGGGTAGCCTGGCCTGAGTACCATACCCATAGGCTGAAGATAGGGCTAAAGTCATAGAAGCTCTATGTGTCCTTGAAATCAGGTGGATAAAGATTGTTTTACATAACTGAACAGCATACAAACTATGGAAAAATGTGGGGGTTTTGTTTGCTTTATTTTAATAATGGACAAAATGTAAGTTCAGGGAAAAAATGGTAGTGCCTCTGCATGAAAAAACCAATGTACCTCTGACTAAAAGCTGATGTTAGGTTAATTTTAATTTACAAGAGACATCATAATGCACTGATTAAGAGGATGGCTCCTGTGGCCAGCATGGCTGCATTCAGATCCTGCTTCTGTTACTTACTCACAGGCTGTATGACCTTGAACAAGTTACTTAACCTCTTTAGACCTCAATTTCCTCTTCTATAAAATGGGAATAATAATAGTACCTACCCATAGAGTGCTTGTGAAGATGAAGTGATTTAATATTTACACAATGCCTAGAATATATATTAAACACCTTATAAAAGGTAATGGCAATGTTGATGATGATGACAATGGTGATGATCTGAGGAGGAAAGACACAATCAAATTCAGGGTTACGTAGAGTCAAGGGCTTGTTCAGGTTCTGCTATGTATTCTGGTTAAGAAATCTACCTTTGTAGGCCTGAATCCTCATTTGAAAAATGGCTCTTTAGTCATAGGTAAAACAATTCTGGAATTACAACAGGTCTGAAGGTGGGTATTCCTTTCTGAATACCCACTTAATAAAGGTTTCAGCTTTAGTTACTAGAGTCTGGTCAATCGTTTTTGGAGTCAGTTGAGGATTCTTCTCATTGCAAAAGATGGAAAACTACCAAGCAAATTTGCTTATGACAAATGGGAGCTTGTTGGTTCATATGACTTGAAAGTCCAAGGGAAGGACTGGTTTCAGACTGGCCTTGATCAGTCTCAACCAGTGACCTCAGGACCCAGTTTCTCCCCATGCCTTAGTTCTCCCTTCTGTAGTTATTGCTTTATTCTCAGGTTCTTTGTGATGGCACCTTACAGCTCCGGGTTCTGGTCATCATTACTGCAAACAGGCCCAGTCCAAAGGAATGTGGGAAGCTCCACAGACTCCCCAGCTAACATCTCCTTTGCAAATGGGCGTGAGATCTTTTGGGAATTATGGGAAAGTTCTAACGTTTGACTGTTCTGATGGTTACTCTATAAATTTACTAAAAATCACTGAATTATATACTTCAAAAGGGTGAATTTCATGGTGTGTAAGTTATGTTTCAATAGAACAGACTTCCCTTACATCTCTCTGGCTCTGATAGTGTCACACTCCCATTTCCGAATCTACCACCAGGTCAGAGGAATGTGATGCTCCGGGTAGCCTGGCCTGAGTACCATACCCATAGGCTGAAGATAGGGCTAAAGTCAGTTTCATCCAAAGCAAAGGGACTGAGGGTGCAGAGAGAGTGGCTTCCCAGTTGAAAACTGGGTTAATGGATTTTGTTGCCTAAGGCCCAAGGACCAAAGTTAATCTAGGACCAGTCCAGGCTTTCAGGGTCTCTCTGAACTCAAAGTTGGGCCTGACATGAGCCAAACTACAGACACATGCCTGTCTTGTGAGGCCTAACTTTTGTTCTTCTTGACTTTTCCATGACAAGTGCTGAGGTGGGATGATGAACCACACATGCTGGATTCTCTTTCTTGGAAATGAGAGATGTCCCTAGTTAAACCCAGAAAGCGCTCCTCTCAGGGCTCAACACCCATCATTTCCTGCTGTGTGGACAGAGTGTGGGTGCTGCCCAGCGCTCACTGAGGCCATTGCAAGCTGGCAACACGGGAGGAGTCCTGTCACTTCTGTGCCCCACTCGGGGAGCCGTCAGCCCCATGCTCCCTGGGAACAACCAGAAACAAATCCGCCACTCTTTTTTTTTTTTTTTTTGTCATTTTACACCCTTTATCTCACTTCTTACTATCTCTTTCAGACTTGATTCTCAATGCTTGTGACTGTGGGTCCAAAGGAGGGATGAGGTAATGGATTAGAATGAACTGGATGGCTCTGGAATAAGTGATCTTCCAGGGCACAGGAGCAGACAGTGCTTGAGGCTCTTCTTTGCGGAAGAACAGCAAAAATCAGACAAAAGTCAACACATCTAAAGTGCTTATTTGGGTGGAGGCACTGAGCTGAGCGACCTGCATTCACTGTGCTTTTATTTCTCACAACCGCCTCAAAGGGTAGATCATCTTAGCCACATAGATGGGGGCAAAGTGACTCAGAGGAGTGAACTGAGGCCTTGGAGGGAGTCGGAGGAGTGCTGGGCTTAGAGTGGGAGCTGTCTGCCTGTAAGGTGGGCGTCTTTAGCCACTTGAAGCTGCCTATCTGCTTCTAACTAGTCTGGCTGTGGCCTGCAGCCCCTTTCACTGTCATGGCCAGTGTCCTTGAAACCCTTGGAAGGGGAAGTGGTTGCTGGCAGCTCACCTGTGCAGAAGCAGAGGAGAGGCCCCAGGGGTGCAAGCTGACAGCCCACCAGCTGCATAGGTACACAGATGGGCCTGGCCGGCCAGCAGCACATTGTCAGTGTCGTTATTTTTAAGGAATTGGATGACCTCCATGGGGCAGGTAAAATTCACACTGGATTTCAGCACTCCTTACAGTGGTAAAGCAGTTACTTCACACCTGCAGGTTAGCTGTCTGGCCTTGAACAGCATTTGCCTTTAAACCTTGGAAAGCGCTAACAAGTTGTCAGAAGTGCCTGCCTAGGCCCCTCTTCTAACCTGTGCTGTCAGGAGGGTCTGCGTGGGAAGCAGGAAGAACATCTTTCCTGTTTGCAGAAGAAACCATAAACTTCAGCTGCCTTCTGGATCAATGAGTCTTCTAGGTGTAGGACTAGGGACCTAACCATCATTGCATACCACTTATAGTTTGCCATATAGTATAGTGCATATATAGTATACAACAGTGATTCAATTATACATATATATATATACATTCTTTTTCTTAGCTTGATTTTAAATATAACAACAACTGTTTAATCATAGGTGGTGAATTTACATGGTTGACATCCGTTATCAGAACTCAGAACTCCAGCATTTGCACAAATAACCACCAGGCTGGCTTATAAAATTTTAGAGCTAATAGCATAACCTGAGAAAATGATGGTTTTGCTATGTATTTATATGTATCTTGAGAGAAATTAATTAAAGGAGATAAAAAAGCAGTTGAGGCCTCTGGATGGTTGGAATTATCTGAGTAAGTGTGATCTTGACTTTCATGAATTAACAAGCTTCTTGCTCTAAGCATTTAATTAATTTTAAACCACATTTGATTTAGAAATCATTAACATTTAATTTATGGCCTAGTATTCAGTTAAAATCATCTCCACAATTATGTGCAGGCACTAGATCCTATTCTTGCATCAGTTATGTTACTCTTCAGCCACTGACTACCACTGAGGAGTCAGCTCCCCTCAGACCATCAGCTATTGGATCCTGGAGGTGGTGACCCATGCTCTAGGGGCTGGGGTTGAGGCCTCCACGGTATTTGGTTTTGTTTTTCCTTAAGTGTCCCAGGTGATGCTAGGCTTCCCTGGGGGCTCAGCTTGTAAAGAAAGTGAAAGTGTTAGTCACTCAGTTGTGTCTGACTCTTTGAGACCACAAGGTTTGCCTATGGGATTCTCTAGGCAAGAACTCTGGAGTGAGTTGCCACTCCCTTCTGCAGGGGATCTTCCTGACTTGGGGATCGAATCCAGGTCTCCTGCATTGCAGGCAGAGTCTTTACCATCTGAGCTACCAGGGAAGGCTAGTTTGTAAAGATTCTGCCTGCAATGCAAGGGAGGGACCTGGTTCAATCCCTGGGAAGGGAAGATCCTCTGGATAAGGAAATGGCAACCCACTCCAATATTCTTGCCCGGAAAATCCCATGGACAGAGGAGCCTGGCGGGCTACAGTCCATGGGGTCACTAGAGTCGGACACATCTTAGCAACTAAACCTAACCTACCTAGGTGATGCTAATGTGGTGAGAAGACTGCAGGATTTGGAGAACTGGTGATACAAATTTCCATATCAAGTGGATGCCTTGTTTGGGAGGTGGTGGACGCTTCCATCTAATAGTAGGCCAGTAGATGTCTCTGGAAGTGGAGTGCGTGTTTACACATCCACGGTAATGATACAGGAACAGGAAAGTTGTACTTTGTGATGGTTAACCGTTAAGTCAGTTTCTGGAGACAGAGGTGTTGTGTTGGAATCTGTGTTTCTCATTGATTGGATGACTTGGGGCAAGTTATTTTACTCCCCTGAGGCTCAATTTACTCGTCACTAAAGCCAGGATAATAAAGGACTCCACCTTTGAGGTTGTTGCGAGGAGCAAGTGACAGCGTGCATACACTGAACTCAGCACAGGTTTTGGCACCTTCTGGGCCATTAGTCACTGTTAGCTACCGCTGGCGATGAACACGGCACCAAGCGCCTGCTATAAACACTAAGTCGTTTCAAAGACAAATTCAAATTCTTAAAAAGGTTTCTGCCTCCTCACTTCTGATCTGCAAGGTTTTAGATTTACTCTCTTCACTTGAACTGATTTGCCTTGGCTTAGCATCAGGGGTAACTGCACACCGCGTGGGTGGTTAGCCTGTTGACAGTCTGCAAACAGGCAGTGGAACTGGGGTGTGCAACAGGCAATACAAGGTAAGTTCTAAGGGCTCCAGCTGCAGGCAGTGGGGCCCAGCTAAGGGAACTGGGGCCCCAGGAAAAGCCTTCAGGTCCCAGTGAGGGAGAGGTTGGAGGCTGGGGAGGAGCAGGACCCAGCCTCAGATGAGAATACTAGGATCCAAGGACCTCCCTTCTACACTGTCCCCACTCCCTGCCCACCTCTTGCCTTTTGGCTTTGTCTTGGGGGCAGGAGGAGAGGTTGTTCTCACCACCTAACAACCCTCTACTCTCCATTTATCTCAATGTTGTTTATCATTTTATGCTCAAATCAAGCCTTGGATATTCTGTGCCTCTTTGAGGACCAATCTAGATGACCAATCTGGCAATACTTCCTCTGAGTGGGTATAGGGCTTTGTAGCTGTGCCTGGAACTGTTAGTTGACTTTGCACAAACATATGTTGCATGCTTAGTTGCTCAGTCATGTCCAACTCTTTGCGATCCCATGTACTGTAGCTCTCCAGGCTCCTCTGTCCTTGGGGGTTCTCCAGGCAAGAACACTGGAATGGGTTGCCATGCCCTCCTCCAGGGGATCTTCCTGACCCAGGGACTGAACTCAGGTCTCACACATTGCAGGTGGATTCTTTACTGTCTGAGCCACTAGGGTTTATATATAAGCATATCTTGTTTAAAAAGCATTTTTGAGTTCTAGAGGTTGAAGACCATATTTTACACTACTAAACAACCCCTCCTCCTCTTACCACAAATGTTAACACAAATGTTTGACTCTTAGATAAAAGGGCATTCTTTCCACATACAACAGAACCCAGAAGTCAAAGAAGGCTCAAAGATCTTTCGGTCCAGGAGTAGCAACCTGTCCTCTTGACCCACAGGCTAAATTCTGTAAATACGAGTTATTTGCCCAGGCCAATGCTTTAAAAATTTTACACATTTTATCAGCCAGATCTCTAAAGACATTTGAGTCTGTGAGCCTTAATCTGAGCCCATCGTTAGGCCCAGAGGTTTTCATGGCCTCTTGCTGAACAGAGGTTAGCTCATGCCTGAATGCACAGGAATGCAATCCCAGCAATTATTTACCAGATGGAATGTGTTCTTTTTGTGTGTTTCTCTCTGTCTTAAGGGAACTCTGTCAAAGGTTTTGGTTCTAGTTTTGACAGGTGGATTGCAAACCTGTTATAACCTGATGAGCAGGAGGAAATTCCATATTTTTGTTTTCAGGAAAAACAATTTCTACATGAAGAATTTATACATCTGGAGAACTAGGTATATAATAAATCACTGTTAACACCAATTATACTTACTGGGAGCCCAGTTATTTTCTTGCAAGTAGAGACAGGAGGATGTGGTATTGGCTTCTGAACACAATATTGTCAAGAACCTCCTTGCAGGAAAGCCAAAGGTTGGGAAGCACAGAGTGGCTATGGTGGGGGAAATGGAAGATCATTAGGATTTTTCTCTTTTCCTTCAGCTGGAGTCTCCACAAAAACTGGATACATTTTTATCCCATGCAGTTTTTCTTATACACTTTTAGAAAGTATTATCCTTTGCAATTTGTACTGAACCATCGATCTTAATCAAGATGAAAGTTCTCAAGTCAGTATCACTTAGTAACTGAATCACCTTAAGCCTCTCCTTCCCACTTGGAAAATGTGGTCAAAGGACATGAACTTGTGTGTCTAGCCTCATGGCACACATGAATTCTCTTCTCTTGAAAGTAAAAAATCTCAAAGAAAAGGAAGTCTAAACACAAATGACTTAACTAGTATAATTTCAAACAGCAAAAATAATTAGAAACCATCTAAATGTTAAAACAATAGGTTGGGAGACTTCCCTGCTGGCCCAGTGGTTAAGACTCCACACTCTCAATGCAGGGGGCCTGGGCTTGATCCCTGGTGAGGGAACTAGATTTCACATGCTGCAACTAAAAGTTTGCATGTTGCAACTAAAGATTCCACATGCTGCCATGAAGATAGAAGATTCAACATGTCTCAACTACAGTCGAATAAATAAACAAAAAAAGCCCACAACAGGTTGTTCAAATTATTTATGGGTTGTAGATATTAATTACCCTTCTTCTATTAACAGCTTCTATCCCATCTGCCCACTACAGGAGTAGAAAATCAACTCAGAAAGGGTCACTGCATCCCATCTGTTTCATCATAGTGGTTGGTCCAGGATGGACACATGATCTAATCTAGGTCAAATGTTTTCCCTTAGATTTTTCTGCAGAAAAGACTTTGTCCTCTCTGTTGGCAGAAAGTTGCATGATTGACCCCCACATTTGCAGGTTTGTGGCCCCCATCATGTGGAGAAGTCTGGAAAGAGACAAACAGTGGAGAACTCTTGTGATCTCAAGCTCCTGGCCCCCAACACTCAGGTTCCTAGGGCTGCCTGGTTCTTGCAGTTCAGAAAGCAAGCTCTGTATTTTTTCATTAAATTTCCCTTTTCCTTATGCTTGTTGGAGTTGGCTTTCTGTTGTTTGCAACTGCAAAAGTTTTAACTAACAGCTTATGCATTCATTAGCCTTAATAATTAGGAGGACCACAGAGCAGCATAGAAAAGTGATTTTGATGAATGTTACAAACAGCATTATATAAAATTATGTAAATAGTATGATCACAGCTATTTAAAATAATTGTACATACACAAAATAACCAGAAAAGAAATACTTGAAGATGTAATGGATGTTTAGCATGGTAGAGTTATGGTTGATTTTTTTCCCCTTCATAAAATGGGGTAAAAATATATCAAACTACATTCAGTGTACAAAGTAATTGTAGCTTATTTGTTTCCTACAAGTGAACAAATCTTCATCATTGTGTTCCTTTATATTGACCATTCACTGTATCTTAGTCTCTTTGTTAAGGAAAAGGTTTTTTTTTGTTTTTGTCTTTATTGTTTTAAGGAAAAGGTTTTAAGGAGTTGCATTGTTTTTGTCTTAAGGTAAATTGCTACTCTTGTATTGTGTCCTGCCCTCTTTTCCAACATGGTGCCTTGGTGCATTGCAGGGCAGGTACTTAAGGCAACAGGAGAGAGTGAATTTTAGATGTGTACACCTGTGATCAGGGTTGGTGTCATGAACTATTTGTGGCCCCACCCCACATTCATATGTTGAAGCCCTAACTCCCCCAATGTACTGGTATGTGGAGATGCAGCCTTTAAAATGTAATTATGGTTAGGGCTTCTCTGGTGGTATAGTGGATAGGCGTCCACCTGCCAAAGCAGGGGACATGGGTTCAATTCCTGGTCCCGGAAGATTCCGCAGGCCATGAGCAACTAATCCCATGTGCCACAACAACTGAACCTGCATGCTGTCATGACTGAAGCCTGGGTGCTAGAGCCCGTGCTCCACAAGAGAAGCCACCACAATGAGAAGCCCACACATTGCAACTAGAGTGTAGCCCCTGCTCTTTGCAAGTACAGAAAGCCCGTGCACAGCAATGAAGACCCAGCACAACCAAAGATAAATGTAAAATAAATAAAAATTAAGAAAAAAATAAAATTACTTTTAAAAAGCAATTGAGTTTAGATGAGGTAAGATGGGTGGGGCTAGTCCCACCCATCAGGGATTTAGTGGCCTTATAAGAATGAGAGATCTCGCTGACTCTCTCTGCATGCACAAACCAAGGAAAGACCATGTGAACACACAGTGAGAAGACTGCCATCTACAAACCAGGAAGGGAGTTCTCACCAGGGACTGAATCAGTTGATAACCTTGATCCTGGACTTCCCAACTTCTAGAACTGTCAGAAAATAACTGTGTTGTGTAAGCCATCCAGTCTATGGTCTTTTGTTATGGTAGCCTAACCTGAGACTGCCCGCACTGACATTTTTACTAACATCTCTGGGTACCTGACTGACTGCACTGCTGATCTCTGTGCATGGGGAAGTTGTGGATCTATCTAGCTCAGTCAGGGCCAGAGGTCTTCCCTTATGACTTTCTCCCAGCTACAGGCAAAAAAAGATGTTGCCTGTCACTTCAGTAAACAAAGTGTTTCCACGCCATCAAGTCATCAGCCACTGTAGCTGATTCTGACAGTGCACCCTGGGGGGAATTTAGGATGGAGAAAAATAGGGTAATGGCCTTAGATAGCTAAGATGCATATCTGAGGGATAATTTCATGAGCCCAGAACCTTGTGTCTTCCCATAGAAAAGCAGTAAAATCATTAACTTGAGATTTTGTGTGTGTGTGTGTGTGTGTGTGTGTGTGATTAGCAGTAATCTACATGTTGTGTTTGGATTTCGGCAAGACTCTTTTAGATCCTGGTTCCTCCCTTACCTCTTCAGAGTAATTCTTCAGAATTATCTGAGAGGCTGTGTCCTGGGCTACAGTCCTTAGTGAGCTCCCTGAATAAAACATAACTTGCAACTTGTAGGTTGTGTGTTTTTCTTCAGTTGACACAGCCTCAGATGACCTGGTGTCTCAGCCACATCCCTCATCTGGTCATGGCTTAGGCTGGTCAGCGAGCCCAACTGTGTAGTTCTTAACAAGTTAGGCATTCCACTGTAACACTGTTGATGTCATTATGATTGCATGAACGTGGTGGCCACCAACATTGCAGGCCCCTGGATCTCTTTTAATGGTTCCAGATAGTTGTTTGGCTAATGTTTGGTACTGCACTTATCTAGCAATGTTGACAATTTCATCAAAAGTGCTATTTCCACTGTGCTTAATGTTTTTCTGCTGCTTTCTGTCTCTGGATATCTCGTAAGGACTTTGATGATCAGGGAAGAGGCAGAAGGTACCACTTTCATCTGGACTGACTGTTCACTGTAAGCCTTACTATTTCAGGTACTGGTTGGCTTGAGAATGTCTTTATCCTTTTAAAAGATCGGCAGGGGGGGGGGGGCCAATCTTGAAGGCCAGGGCAGATATGACACCAACTTCCCCATCAGTGCACCCCAGGTTTATGACTTTGAGCTGGCTGAGGTTGAACTTGGAAGCACAGTGAAGATTACTGGTGTCTGATGAATCCAAATATGAGATATCAGGAAAAAGTTGCATCTCAGCTTCTTCTGAATATTGAAAGTCTGATTCTGTGCTTTCATTCTCCTCTCTTGTACATGTTGGTGGGGGCCACTTGTGTGAGGGTCCCTCGGCTGAATTTCATGAGGAGCAGAGTGCAGTTCCCTTGTCTTTTCAGGGTGGCTCCCTTCCCTCAGTTTATCTACCACCTGTGATTTCAGCCTTGAATGGATAGGCCAGGACACACGTGAATCATTTTTCCTCCTCTGACCTCTGTCTTACCTTCTGCTGGAAAACTCTTAGTTTGGAAAGGAAAAACAACCCATGTTTTCTGTGCAGCAAGAACAACTGTTGTCAAATCTCAGTTCTCTGTACCCTTGGCTAAGAGCTCAGGTCTAGTCTTCTGACTCTTGATATTGTTAATGGGAATGATAGGAATTTATGAAGTCCTTTTCTTTTTCTACAACCTCTGACTTATAAAGACTGTTTTCCCAGAAACTCAAATCTGAAAGTCAAGAGCTTACTGGAGTGGGTTGCCATGCCCTCCTCCAGGGGATCTTCCCAACCCAGGGATCAAACCCACATCTCTTATGTCTCCTGCATTTGCAGGTGGGTTCTTAACCCCTAGAGCCACCTGGGAAGTCCACTGAATGCTTAACCGTCAGCCAGTAACCCTATAGCTGTTCACATTTCCATTGAGCAGATGAGAAACTGGGGCTGAGAAAGGTGGCTTATGCTAATTTGGAGGAAAAAACTTTAAAAAACTCATTTCTGTGTTTTTTTGCTTTCACTTACTTTGGCTCAAAAGTCAAGAATTTATTCTGATACTGAGAATGTAAAACTTTAAAAGACAAAAAAGAAAAAAAATCCATTAAACACTGCTTAGAAAATAGTAAGCCCTCAAAAGGAAGGCAATAGGTATTATTTATTAATATTATTTCTACTGATGTCCCAGGAGATAGCGTCTTATTATACACAGATGAAAATCCATTGCAGTTAAAATCTTGGTACAATTTGATATTTCCACAGGTGAGCAAGAAAGTAAGTGAAGTACTTTGGGAAGGCAAGAGCTCCTGGCTGAGATGGAACATGGGGTTGGCCTTCTTTTCTTTTGGATGGGAATCCAGGAGACTTGGACTCTTGCTCAGGCTTGGCCAACAATGTGGCGAGGCCATGGAGGGTCCTCTCTGTGGTTTAGTTTCCTCATCCATAAAATGAGTGTTGGGATATTAAATTGGTGCTGAGGTTTCTCCTAATATTAGGAATCCTGGGAATCTCATTGGAGATAGGAAAGTCTAGACAGCCCCAGAGTGCTGCACTGTCCCCTAACACCAAAGTCTCTCTGCCTTTTGTCCTCCTCTGATCTCTCCTGTGCTCAACCCCAATTCAGGGGAGGAAGCTGAAGGAATGTGGTAACAGAGAAAAGGGGGATGAGAAATGAGAGGGGACAACAAAATGGCAGATGATGGAGACAGTGGGCAGAAGCTAGACACATATTCAGAGAAAAGACTTGGAGGAAAAAGAGGAGTCAAAGGACGCCTGTGGCTACCCTCTTTTGCTCAGCAAATAAAACAACAGCTGAAATGTATGAAGTCCTTGCACTAGGCCTGGCCCCTTGTTGAATGTGTCACATGGGTTATCTTATCTCATTTAGTCCTCACACATCTCATTTTATAGACATGTGAGAACTAAGGCTTACAAAGTTCATCAGTTTGCCCATCTCTTAGACCATTTGGGCTACTATAAGAAAATAGTATGACTATTACACCATAGACAGGGTAGTTTATAAACAACAGAAATGGATTTCTCACATTCTGGAGGCTAGAGGTCCAAGATCAAGGTGCAGGACAGACTCAGTATCTGGTGAGGACCCTTTTCCAACTGCAGCTTGCATACTTCTCACTGTATCCTCACACTGCAAGAAGAGCGTGAGAGAGCTCTCTCGGGCCCCTTTTATAAGGACACTAATCATACTCATGATGGCTTCATGATCATGATCTAACCAGCTCCCAAATGCCCCAACCTCTGAATGCTATCACATTGGGGGTTAGAGTTTCAACATATGAATGGTGGGGTGGGGGGACACAAACATTCAGCCCATTGCAATCACTGATGAGTAAGAGGCAGGACTAGGAATTGAACCTTGGTGTTTTAGATTCCAAAGCTGTGCTCATAAACACTAATCCACATTTCTCTCCTCTGTGCTAGGGAATGTCACTATTTCACTTAAGGCTGACTTAGCACTTAATCTTGATCTCATGGCTGACCTAGCATGATGAGTTCACCACCCACGGGCAAAATCAGACAGACAGTCAGGCACCTACCTACATACTCACTCCCCCTTGATGACATTCAAGAAGGCTTGGCAAAGAAAATTCAAAACAGTGAATAACATAAATAGAAAGTCTTTTTTTGTTAGATGCCATCACATATGGACAGCTGTTTCAGCTCCTTGATTAACCCTAACTTAATCTAATGTTGAAATGAACTCTTGTTCCTTCAGATGCAAGATCATTGCCTGGACACATGCCCAGATGACCACAGATGCCTGAGGTTTGTTGGGGGATAATACACATAGATAAGTGATGACTACTCCTAGGTAACCACATCATACTTTCTTAATATCATCCCTATCAGAAAATCAGAGTAGGCCTCATTGCAGGGTATCTCTAGGTCCCCAAGGATCATAAGGATTATGGGAGAAGATAAAGGTGTCATGTGATGGCTCCCCATTGGGGGTCTTTCACATGTGATCATTTCCCAACATTTCAACTGTGAGGAAACTTTGGAAAGACTGTATCAGATTCCCTACCCAAAAGTCTCTGAGGGAGACTTCCCTGGCAGTGCAGTGGTTAAGATTTCGCCTTCCAATGCAGGGGATGCAAGTTCAATCCCTGTTGAGGAAGCTAAGATCCCATGTGCCTCTTGGCCAAAAAACCAAAATGTAAAACAGAAGCAATATTATAACAAATTCAATAAAGACTTTAAAAAGTCTCTGAGGCCCATAAACTTTCTTTGCTTAATTTTGGGGATATTGCAGAGATCTTGGAACCAGTCAGGTTCAAACTCTCCACATCTATTGACTGTGGGGCCAGTCCCCTGCATGGAACTGCAGCAGCCTGTCCTGTCAACAGGAGTCAAACCCCAGTCTATTTTATGGGTCAGGTGGGTCAGCACACAAAAGCCCCGTACAGGAGGTGGAGCGCAGCAGGTGTTCAGTCACTGGAGCCTCTTTCCTCCTGCTTCAGTGTCTACTGCTGTAGAACGAACCACTCTCAGGAAGTGGACTAGTTAGCTTTACTCAAATAACAACCAGATATTTGCTTATGGTTCTGCCACCTGGGTTGGTCTCACCTGGAGTCACTCATATACTCCTGAATCCCCTCAGGAGGCTCAATTAGTCCTGGATATCCAGCACGGCTTCAGTCCATGTCAGACACCTTCGGCTAGGACAGCTGGGACCTGGCCAGGTGCCTCTCTTCCCGTGAGCTCACCCCATTAGGATGGTTAGCAGGGGCCAGCTTCATAAGGGGCAACATGTGTAGTCACACACGGCCCCACACCCAGAAGGAACCCTGCTTGGCTTAATTCTCTGTTGCCACCGCAAATTTTTAATACTTAAAAATGAGAGACCCTGCATTACCATTTTACACTGCTGCTGCTGCTGCTGCTGCTAAGTCGCTTCAGTCGTGTCCAACTCTGTGTGACCCCGTAGACGGCAGCCCACCAGGCTCCCCCGTCCCTGGGATTCTCCAGGCAAGAACACTGGAGTGGGTTGCCATTTCCTTCTCCAATGCATGGAAGTGAAAAGTGAAAGTGAAGTCGCTCAGTCATGTCCGACTCTTTGTGACCCCATGGACTGCAGCCCACCAGGCTCCTCCGCCCATGGGATTTTCCAGGCAAGAGCACTGGAGTAGGGTGCCATTGCCTTCTCCGACCATTTTACACTAGGTCCTACAAATTATGTAGACAGGACTTGTAGCCATACTTCTTTCCTCAAAGGCTCCAAGCTCCAAGGGGTTGAAAAGAGAAGCTGAAAAGCTTAAGAAGACTTAGGCCAAAACTCACAGAGTGTCACGTCACTGCATTCCAAGCTACAGCAACTCACAAGGCCATGCTGACTCAGGGGAGGAGCAGAAAGTCTCTGTGGCCATCCACATCACCTTGCTTCCTTTTTGCAGCATTCTCATGAGCAGGCAGGTCCTGACAGAGCTTGTTTGGTGCTAAGAAGAAGAAACCCACTCAAACTTCCTCATAAAAAAGAGGGGTTGACAGTAAAGAGCCAGAAATCTCCCAGGAAGAAGGGTAGCCACACCTCAGGGAAGTGGAAATGACAGAAACTCAGGGCCTGAGGCTATGGCTTGCCTCTCAGGGATCACACTGGTTTCCATGGTGAGTCAGCCGTGGTCTGAGGGGAGAACCTGGTCACTCAGAAGAGCCAACTATCCCTTCCAGGGACTGTGGGCTGGGCGGACTCTCCGCAAGGGGTTAGTGGAGAAAGTGTGCCACATAACTT